TACCTGAAGATGGGGGTCATGGTTCAGAGCTGCACGGTGGCGGCCGGCCCGGCGGCCCGGGCCCGGCGGCCGCATTATACGGGTAATACGGTGTGACACCGCGCGAACAAAGGCGGATTGAGCGGCCCAGCGGGCCCCGCCGGACGGGGACCGGCACAGCGGGACTGTCAGCGCCGCTCCCAGGCTAATCCCCGCCCCGCCCCCGCCGCCCCCTCGTCCCCGGGGCTGGGAACCGAGCGCGGCAGGGCCGGGCGCCGCCGCCGCCGCGAGAGGCCACGGGCCGGCCGGAAGCGAGGGCCGCCCGGTCCTGCGAGCTCGCCCTCGGCGTCCCGTGTCCAGGCGCCGAGAGTGGGAGGGGTTTGGAGTGGGGGCGCCGGGGGCAGCGGGTAGCCAGGATGGGATCCGAGCCACAGAGCGCACGCTCCTGGCCTTGGCTGCCCCTGCCCGCTGTCCAGCACAAACGCCAGTGCGCGGCCAATGCAGCTCTGCACGCCCCTCCTGTCTGTCCGTGGACGTGGAGGAGACCCTCCTCTGCAGGAGGCCACGAGTGCACCAGGCAACAAAGGCTCCGAGGGGGGGTCTAGGCCCCCTTCTCTGCAGAGCTTCGGCCTATCCAGCGCGGGAATGCAGGCTCAGGCCCTGCAGCCTGTGTAGTCTGGGGCAGGTCGCTTCCTTGCGCTGCGCTCCGCAGGCCTCTCAGGCCTTTGCCTCTGTAAACCTTCAAGACCCTTACCTGCAAAACGGGCCTCTTGTTGTGGACCACAGAGTTGAAACCGACCCATACATAGCTGACCCTCTGGCTGGTTTTCAGAGGCCGTAATTGCACAGGAGATGATTGCCATCCTTCTCGTGAGGAGCGGCTAGTGGCCTCGAACCGTGTGCCTTTGGGATTGCAACAGCTTTTTGCCACTAGGCCACCAGGGCTCCCTAAAACGAGGCCTACTGTTGTGTATTTTATATGTGTTTACACACACACACACACACACACACACGCGCGCGCGATGCCTTACAGGGTTGCAAAATACTAAATGGGATCAAGAGCAGGAAGCCGAGTGTCTGAGCGCTGGGGTCTCGATTTTAATGAAGCTGACTCCTTCCCCAATTCTCCTTGTGTTTCTATCCAGAGGCCTCCCAACAGGATAGAAGGGTTCCGACCCCACCAGATGACATTGTCAGAGGGGGTGACACCTAAGCATCTATAAAACTGCTATGAAGTATTTTAGCATTTTTCTAGAAAAAGAACCCATAGTATGTTCTAACGAAAGCCTGTCTCACAAACACAGCTTGAAACCCCATTCTCTTGAAACACGCTCTCCCTGAGCCTCAGTCTTCCCATCTGTAAAGTGGAACACTGAAGTGAGGCTTCCTCCTGAGCTCTCCAGCCCCCCCAGGCCTCCTCCCCCGGGTTGGGGAGGTCGCGGCAGGGGGCAGACGGGCCAGGCCTCAGCGCTGCCTCTTTCTGTCCTCCCACAGCCACCCGCGAGTCGGCCTTCGTGCACGCCATTGCCTCGGCCGGCGTGGCCTTTGCGGTCACGCGCTCCTGCGCCGAGGGCACCTCCACCATCTGCGGCTGTGACTCGCATCATAAGGGCCCGCCCGGCGAGGGCTGGAAGTGGGGTGGCTGCAGCGAGGACGCCGACTTCGGGGTGCTGGTGTCTCGGGAGTTCGCAGATGCACGCGAGAACAGGCCGGATGCACGCTCTGCCATGAACAAGCACAACAACGAGGCTGGTCGCACGGTGAGCCCACAGGTCCTCCTGGAGCCCACCACTCCACTCGGCCCTCTCGGACAACGCCCTTCTCTGGCCCTTCCAACGTCCCAAACCTACCATGTTAACCTTGCACACCTACCCCATACTGCCCGTTAGTGTCCATTCCAGCTCCCAGTTCTCCTTCTCTGACCAGACGTGACCCCCAACCTTCCCACAGTCTCCTTCCCTGGTCCCAGGTCTCCCCTGGAACAGCCAGCCTAGCCCAGAGTGTAACCACTCTAGGTGCTACGCGGGGCCCTCCTGTGTTGCTGGCCTGTCTGCATTTGATCCTCACCACTTACTGTGGTTTTTCTGAGCATGGATGAATCTCTTAAGCTTCTGGCCTCAGTTTCCCCAATCCTTACTTCCTATGTTTCTGTGGTTCTGAAAAACAGGGACGTGATGTCTTTCTGTGGGGTATGTGTCCTGCGGGTCGGTGCCACAGGCAGCCCCAACACAGGGAAGGTTCGAGGGTTTGGAGTGTGGGGTAGGGGCCTAGTGGGTTGGGAGGGTCATGAGTGCGCCCAGCAGCATCTCCTTTCCCCTAGACCATCCTGGACCACATGCACCTAAAGTGCAAGTGCCATGGGCTTTCGGGCAGCTGCGAGGTGAAGACCTGCTGGTGGGCCCAGCCTGACTTTCGGGCCATTGGCGACTTCCTCAAGGACAAATATGACAGCGCCTCGGAGATGGTGGTGGAGAAGCACCGCGAGTCCCGCGGCTGGGTGGAGACCCTGCGTGCCAAGTACGCGCTCTTCAAGCCACCCACCGAGAGGGACCTGGTGTACTACGAGAACTCCCCCAACTTTTGCGAGCCCAACCCCGAGACGGGCTCCTTTGGCACCAGGGACCGAACTTGCAATGTCACCTCCCACGGCATTGATGGCTGTGACCTGCTCTGCTGTGGCCGTGGCCACAACACGAGGACGGAGAAGCGCAAGGAGAAATGCCACTGCATCTTCCACTGGTGCTGTTACGTCAGCTGTCAGGAGTGCATCCGCATCTATGACGTGCACACCTGCAAGTAGCAGGCCAGGTAGGGCCCAGGGCCTGGGTGCAGGGGGTGGGGTGCCCGGCTTCCTATCTTGATCACCTCATTCTCAGCTGTCCTGGGGCAAACTTCAGGGGCTGAAATCTGGAAGGTTGGATTTTCTGATCCATTCAACAATGGGGCATCCTTAGGCAATACCTTGGATTCCACATACTGTTGTTAGGTAGCCCAGGACTCATAGCTACCCTTTAATAACCAACTGTGGCTGGCAACTGAGCAAACTACTTACACATTAGTACAACTGGAGAACCAGGCTAAGACTCTGCATGGCCTTCGGCTAGCCTTACTGAGCATTCAACGAGGGAGACGCTGGACAGTGTGGAGTTGGGAAATGGGAGACTGATTTCTGGTTCCAGTTTAGTCCTGTCCCTCCCCCCTGAACTTCCCATCCCTTTGCTACTCTGGGCCAGAGTTGTCTCACTGTAAAATGAAGGCACTGACATCCTTGAAATAGTCAACTCTGAAAGGTCATCTCTCTGCTGCCCCAGGGCCAGAGTTCCTTTGCACCTACCTTGAAAAACCCAGGGCAAGTTTTTGTACAAGCATAAACCCTACCAGCCTCAAGGAAGTGGGTGGGGGTAGCGGCATGTAAACCCGTAAATATCCAGACAGATCTGAAGCCTGGGTGGAGTGGGGAGCACTCTTACCAGGTTTATGGATGATGGAAGAGTGACGGTGGTGAGTAATCCAGGGATCAAAGGCTGTGGGATTGTATTCCCAAGCTTCACGGAGGTGACCTGTGTGGGAGGCTCTCTGTACTGGCCATTGGACTCATGGGACCCCGGGATAAATCATGTGTGACATAGGGGCTGTCCCCCAGGCTCACAGGTGGAAGGTTTCTAGGTGCTGTGCCTGTTCTCCTTTCCCTTTGAGAAGGAGCCTGGTTTACAGGGGCGTGGATATGGATTAGAAATAGGCCTAGTCATGGCCAAGGAGCCATGTACCTGGTGGTGTAGAGGTTAAGTGTTTGGCTGCCACCTCAAAGTGGTTCCATGATGATCTGCACCCATGAAGATCCAGCTGGAACATCCGATGGGGCGGCTCCTTCTACTCTGTTACGTAGGATGGCTGCGAGTCAGAACTAACTTGACAACCCTAACAATACCCAACCTGGCCCAGCTTTCACCAGTGGCAAACTGGAGACCTGTTTCCTCATGTTAACCTTCCTCAGAGGTTCCTGTGAGAAACATGGGAAAGGCCCCTGGGACGGTGCTTGGTCAAGTGCAAAGGACTTGCCTGCCTAGGGTTAGCTGGCTAGGGCAGACGTAGGGGTGAACAGACTAAGCCTGAAAAGCAGAGTGGAATAAAGACTGTGGAATAAGGCTCCCCCCCCCGCCACTAGCCATCTGGACTTGACACGCTCAATCCCAGAGCCCCAGCTTTCTCCTCTGCACGCTGGCGGTGATGATGGGGACCCCATGGGGTTTTTGTGCATCTTGAGTGCGCTGGTGGATATGATTACTTACCTGAACACAGTGATGGCTGGAGTGGCTAACTCCATCTGAAAAATCATGACATGAGTGGACAGCAGTAGTGTCACTGCTGAGGTAGTCTTATTTCCTGCTTTTCTAAATGGTGGGAGAGAAGTCAAGGAGTAAGAGAGCTCACAGGCCAGTAGTGGCTTGTCACGGCGGAAGGAATGTGTGCAAACCTCAGTGGCCGCCTTCCCCTAATGCCTGCTGTGATCAGGCAACACGGCGGCCCCACTGGCTGGTGGGACGTGGCTCTGGCGACTCTGAGAGGCAGCTAAGGGGTGTCACTTTTTGAAAGTTATGTCTGGATAGGGCCTTGAGGACCATTTGTCTACCTGCCCGTGTCATGGATGCGAAAGGCTTAGCAGCCAAGAGGCACATATATGTTCCATATGGCCATGTAGGGAGGTATAGGGGACAGGTGTGTCACTTCTGTGGTGCTATTTGGAATCGATCTCCTGAGTGTCGGTAGCCAAGAAAAGCCATCCCCCAAGAGAGAATGGAGGTGCTGGGTTAGCCCTCTGGGTCTCCAGAATCCCCCTGCCCACCCTCCTCCCTGAGCCAACTGATTCTAAGGACATGTTCTTGGCTGGTGTGTTTTCCAATCTTGTACGAATTGCTGTATAGACATGGCTTCCAGACACATGTCCAAGAAGCTTCTAGTCCCCCCATCCCTCATCTGTGGAACCTCTGGAGTCCTCACTCTGTGGAAAGTGAAGAGTGGTCTCCATCCACAGGAATCACTCAACTTTTGACTGATTTAGGCAAGCTCTTCTGCTTCTGAGCCTTAGATTCTGCACATGAGACTGGGGAAAAGAATCTGGTCCCGGGCAGGGTGGTCCGTGACAAGCAGATGGTCAGAGCAGCCAGGATGCCAGGGTTTGGAGGATCATTGGTCTACCTGCCCATCTCAGGCTCACCTCCTGGGGCCGCCTCTTCCCAGCCTGGAGACACCAGCACAGGCTGGCTGAGAGCTGCTTCCTCTTCTGTTTCCTCCTCCATGCTAACACCTGCCCGCAGGACAGGGGATTAGAGACAGGTCGGGACCTCTAGCTTTGCCTCTTCTACATTGTCTGAATTGCCAGTGCAGGTTAAGAGGGAGAAGGGAACCACAGAGCAGAAAGCACCCGACTGCCTTCCGCCCAGCCTGAAGACAGCAAGGGCATCCTGCCTCTGCCCTTCCTGCGAGAGGGAAACGGCTTCTCCACCCATCTGCTACTTCTGTGCAGTGTCACAGGCTAAGCACTCACTTCCTGCCATATGTGTACCTAATGCGCCCAGTGAACTGGAAAGGACCTTAACAGCAGTCAAGTGGCCCCCAGTCTTGGCGCTGCCACTGCTAGCTGTGGGGTCTTTGACCCAGCTGAGCCTCATTTGCAGCCGTTGTAAAACAGGCTTACACGGGCACTGCCTGCCCCAGAAGAGCCGAGGGGAAGGCCCACACAAGCTCTCTGGCCTCAAATCCCTTGTGAGATCAACACACACACACACACACACACACACACACACACCCATGATTAATGAAACAGACCTTTTTCTGTGTGGACAGTGCACTGTCAAAGTACCACGCAACAACATGGCGCAAGGGCTACACTTAAGCTGGGAATTGGGTCTGTAAACTGGAAAACTTTCTCCCATTTAGGGAGGAATGTTTCTCTACATTCCTGTCACCCAAGGCCCCCAGCTAGAAATAGGGGAGGCAGGATATGGATGTCCGGCTGTGGAATCTGAAGGCCTGCTGGTCCCCTAAACCACATGGCCTCCCTCAAAGACATCCCCCAAAGTACAGGAGGGGGCATGAAAATAAGTCCCTGAAGCCCACTTCTGAGAATGAGACACATGTAAGAAGAGTTCCTTCCCCCAGCCTCAGATCTCTCTGCACGCCAGATGCGGCTTCTCTGGGGAAGGAACTGTGCTTCCAATTCTTCTTGTTTCTTTTCCCAAAGGGTGCTGGGAACGGGTGACGTGTGTGACTGAGCGGATTCACCGAAGTCCCGTGGGAAGCAGGACCTAGAGCAGGGGCTCGGCCCCTGGCATCGGACAGCACCGATAAGGACTGTTGCCAGATGCACTTGGTAAACCTGGAACCAACCTGCCAAGTGGCGGGTGGCTTCTCCCTTTCTCATCTTAAGTTTCTCACCCTACTCGGATGGTGTGTGGTAGTTTGTTTTTTTTTTTTTTTTTTTTAAAGAAGGGGCTTTCTTTTTGGTTCTCTAGGGTCTGATAGGAACAGACCCAAGGCTTATCTTTGCACATGTTAAAGAAAATAAAAATGAAAAAAAAAATCTACTCCAACAGAACAGGCTGGGCTAATGTGAGCTCTCTGCCTGGTGGTAAGGACATCAGCATGGGCAAGGCTGCTTCCCAACGGCTTCTCGAGGCATTTTAAGATGCTGGAGGTGGGAGTGAGGAAGCAGGACAAACCCCAATCTCCCTGTCTCTGTCTACTCCTCTTCCAGTCTGATACACTGTCACAGTCCGATAAAAGCCATAGGTTTAGCTAGGATAAAGTGGTTAGGATGCGCCCAGCAATTGCTAGTGTCGGAGCTGGGATTTTGAAGAACTGTTCTGGCGAGCTGGGAAGCTGTTTGAAGAGCAGCTGTGTTCTTCTCAGTCTTGTCTTCTCTGTAATCTGTTCTGCTCAGGAGGCTCTGGTGAACTGAGACCAGATCGTAGTCCCTTTTCTACCCTTCTGCGGTTCCCACCGCTGATGCAGGCCATTTTTTGGTGTGGTGGTGGTGGACTTTGTGACGAGGTTCCTTCTGGGGGCAGCCTCCTCCAGTTTACCTGACTTTCCAAGGCTAGAAACAATCTCTTTGGAAGGCGCCATCATGCCCCAGCCCTGCCCACCTGCGGATTCTCCATCGGAACAGCTTCCAGTCAGGCAGCTGGGCGCTAGGCCACCTTAGGACAGTGGCTATCAAATTAGGCAGTTTTAAGGGTCAGCTTGCATCTAGTGGACAGGAAGGACAGAATGGGGCCTTCATCTCCTCTCCAGACAGCCCCTCCTGCCTTCTTTTCTTGCCCGTGAGAGTTCACTCTTGAAGTCTTGGACCCCTTGCTGGTATCCAGGGATAGCAGATATCCAGGAGGCTACCAAGGGCAGTTGAAAGGAGGGCGAGTGGCCACTTACTCGCTTGGGTCAGGCTTCTCACAGTGAGTTCTCAACGCACATCGTCCATAAGCCTGATGCCCTAGCAAACAGAGGCAAATGGGACTGATGAGCTGAAAACCTCCAGCTGCCTCAGGGAGAATCAGAAAAAAGAAACAGCAAGGTAGAGAGTAGAACACACTTTTTTCTTTCTTTCTTTCCCCTCTGTCCTTCTTTGGCCCCCCTTCCACTGGCCTCAGATGCCAGGCCAGCTGCCCTCTGGCTTGCGCAGACATGGAAGCCGTGTGTGTACCCTTCCACCGCTGGCAGCAAACTCTGCTGGATACACAGCTCACCCCCTCGCCGGAGTCCCAATGCCCCTCCCCATCTTACCTTAGATTGCAAACCTTTCAATCACCCCAACCAGATGATGCTTGCTATATGTGAGAATATTTCAGCAGAATGGATACAAATTTTCAAAACCATCTTTTTAAAAAAAAATATATCTATGTATTCTATATTAAAAGTGATCAAGTCATGTTTCTGGGGAGTATTCAAGTAGCTGCCAAGTAATTATTTAATACTAGTACATTTGAGTGCATTGTAATTCTTCTCACCGTAGTCAGGTATTAGTATCCAGTGGAAATTTCCTACCAACCTGCTGTATCCAAAGTTTTGTAAAAAGTTGTAGAAGTTGTTGATCTTTTTGATTTTATATTCAAAAAGTCTCTTTTTATAAATATTATTTATTATACAATGTATATACCTTTGAGTTAACTAAGATTATATATTATATAAATATATATATATTTGGAGAAAATCTATTTCATCATGCAGTTTTTTTCTGTTAAGTCATTAAAGAGAAGGTAAACAAACTTAAAATGGACACATTGTACAGTGTGTGGAGTTTCCAGGTTAACGCTCAGGTCAAGAATAAGCTATCTGGGATGGGATGGCCTGGCCTCTCTAATCAGTGGACCGACTTCAGGCTGTGCTTTCTTTTCTGTACACAAGAGCATCTGAGACGTCATGCGCAGTAGGTCTTACCTACTGTGGGATGCTTTTACAGGTTTGCTCTGTTCTAAGCTCATTTCTACCCAAGAATCTCTGGTTGTAGAAATAACCAGTTTGAGTTGTCATTCGTTTCACAGACTTCAGCACTTCTGGCATGATTCATGTTAGGCGTTCTAGAAGATCCCCGCAGACCTTGGGGTTGGCGAAGGCTTAACCTCTTTCTTGCTGGTGAAATAGAATTTGCTCTATTGGAAGTGAAACTTCACTGGAAACGGTCTCTTCCGTGCCAGCTAGTGTCGAGAGCTAAGCTGGGGAAGGGGCAGTGTGGTCAGGGCAGAGGAACCGTGTCCTGGCTCTGCATTCTTTGGAACAGGTGGCATTTGACATTTCAGACTCATTTGGGCAGCAAAGATCATTTGTGGGCAGGAAGTAAGTAAGGGCATTCTCTCCTTGGGCTGTGACTTCAAAAGGATTTGCCTGAAGCTCACAAATTATGTCTTCTCAACAATGAGATGCTATAACTCAGTTTTATGACAAGAGACAGACTTTTTAGTCTTTATACCTAACCATGAACTGGCACCTGCACCTTGCTTGGTACCCTGTAAAAGGGAATGGTTACGAGGCTTCCTTTTGCTTCTTTCCTCCTGATCTACCTCTATCAGGGGCAGACAGTGCAGTCTGCCTTGTACAGAGGAGACTGACCTTTTGCTGCACTTGGGCCTCTAACCTTACATTAGGAATGGCCACTAGAAGTTCAAGTTCACAGACCTTGTTTTGTTCATGTTTCTTTGTTTGGCTGCTGAGAAGCGTAAACCACAAAGACTCATATTCAGTTGTGTAAGGAATCATACTTGTAAAGCGTGCACACTTCTTCAAAATGCTAGTCATACACTTTGACTTTTTCTTTTCACTCCTTATCCTAGAGTTCTGGGTCATTATTATTTTTTTAAAAAAGTCAGATGTCTTAACTGTTTAAATGGTTCTTATTCATAGTTACCAAGCCCATTTATAATCTCGCCTATGCTTAATCACATTCTGATTAAAGAGTTTATAGAGTGCCTGAATGTTTGTTTAGTTTCTCCATAAGTGCAAATATTCATAAGCATCTGAAAAGAAAAGGTAAAAAAAGACACCTCCCCCCAAAATACAAGAAGCTGTTATTTCAAAACATATTTTATGAAGATGGAAGAGAGATGGAAAGTACGGTAAAGAGCTCAAGGGTGAGAAGATGAGCTATAAGAAAGCAAAGGAGGTAAGGAGGGCAGGAAGAGAGGAGTTGACAGTGCATTTACTCCAGGGCTATCGATAGTCCATGGCGACCCAGGATGTGTGGGTGTGCTCCAGGGTCCATGGCTGATTTACACACATGAATAAAGTTAATTTGGCAAAACTGTAGCTCTCACCCTGTTTTGTTTCTCCTTGCTTAACTACATTCCAGTAGGCAAAAAAATGACCTTACCATTAATCTTATACTCCCCAAATTTTGACATCAAGTTAGCAGTATAGAGACTGGGTACTGGGAAATTTCAAATGTGAACCCTCCTTGCTGGTCACTGGTGGTACCTCCTTCGCCTTAATGCCATGGTGTCTGCACAGCACACACACTCAATAGGTTCATCTCCTAGGTCCACGCTCAGCATTGGAAAACTCGACGTCCTTCTGCAATAACTACAAAAGTTTACACGTTGTCTTGAACACTTAACACACACCTTTCACACACAATCCACAGGCTTGTGATTTCAATCTTCCCAGCTGCTCTGAGGGAGAAAAGGCCTTTATTCTCCTCCTATGCGATATACGGCCCTGGAAATCTGCTAAAGGGCCAGCTACAAGTCAGTTCTGACTCGACAGCACATGCGAACTCCAGTGGCCTAAGGTTAAGGAGTTGGGATGCAAGCCTAAAGGCAGGTGGTTCAAATCCACCAGCTGCTCTGAGGGAGAAAGGTAGGCAGTCTCCTCTCATTCAGTTTACTTGACGGCAATGAGCGAGTTCATCCACAGACGAAGAACTCCACAGCAGAAGCCAGGGCCCGGCTATGGTTAGAGTTTCCTGTGATCCCAGACCCTGCTCCGACTGTGCACTCTACTGTCCAGCATCAGCTTGAAGCTCTAGGGTAGCTCCAGAATGTGTCTGCTCGAGGATACACAGGGGCCCAGGAAGGTGAGGCCTTCCCCTCAGGTCGGGAGGGCTCCTGGAGGCCGGGCCTGCTCTCTCAGAGAGCCTGAGTTGGCCGGCTTGGAGGACCAGATGTGGCCGAAACGTCTGAGAGTTCAGAAAACACGAATCCCTTACCCACACTTGGCATGTGAAGAGATTCTCACTCAACATGTTGGTGTTCTCAGGCTTGTAGGCTGTATGAAAACAGTAATTCTGAGAAACCATTTGTCTTTCTGATCTGACCTCGTTCATGGCTCTGGTACTGTCATTTTTTAAAAAGGTAAAAAACAAGTATAAAATGTAAGTAGAAAGATGATTCTACACTAACTTTTCAAAAAAACCTGCTACTGATATGCTTTTCTTTTTTAATAACTGTTGCTGTTGTTCTTAGTGAACCTATGTACAACAGCTCTGAACCCTGCTCTATCCTGAGCCAACTGCATCTTCTCTGACACACCCACACTTGCTAAGTAATTAAAACCAGATCCTTTATGTAAACCTCACCCCCCCTCCCTAGCTAGTTAATGCAGTGGGAGCTTCTTCCCCTCGCATTCATAGAAGTCACAACCTATTGATTTATATGAAACAACGGCCACCAGAACATTTCCAAGTATACACACTGTTTATTGCATTCCTTCATTTGCATTAAACAATATAATATTTATATTTCTCAATATAGCTTTGGACAAAACACAAAATTCTTTTAACAAGAGACACAATGAATACAATGTGTGTTGTTTTTGTGGGAAGAGGAAAGAGGTGAGATCTTAAAAGGCTGGGGAATCCAGGACACTGGCCACCAGGAATCAGAGGATTTCACAACACAGGTCTACTTTTTAAAAAGCCACAAAATATGCAAAGGGGTGGCAACCCACAACGAAGTAGATATGACATATGCGTCTCTAACCAAAGCATACAGACAGCCAAATCTGGAGATGATTTGCCTTCTGTCACGGGGACAAATGACAGAGCCACAACCACGTGCCACGGTGGCAATAAGCCTTATGGACAATAAGCACTTCAGGTGGCTTCCGAGTGTCCACTCATGGTAAGCAGCAATGGTGTGAGAGTTACATGCTCTGTAAGTTTCACCACCAAATTTGATGACCGAATGAAATTCCTTCTGACTCAGTTAAAAGACAAATCACCTTTAAAAGGGCCTAACGAGCTCTCATGCCCTTTGGCAGAAACATGAAGATAAAGGAAATGTGTTCAGTGTTATTGGAATGGATGTTAAAGGGCTGAAGGGAGAAGGCTGGAAGAGGGCTTTTTTCCCTCTGGACAGTGAGGTTTTATTGAGATACTGCATAGTAGATAATTTAACACAGAGAGTAACTTCCAACTAAGTCATGAAACTAAGTGGTGATACTAGTGAGTACTTAATATCAAATTAGGGAACTGACCCATTTAGAGGATGGTACTAATTAAGGTAAATCATTACATTATGAGGTTTATAAATTCATAACTTCTTTCTGTTTAAGGGTCTATATACTTTTATTCCATATGTATCGTTTACAAGTTTTTAACTGTTTCCCCAGTGGAAATGATTAGCATACCCCTCAGCAGAGAGCACATTGCTCTATCAAGGGCATGTCACAGCCAACAGGGTAAAAAGTTGACTTTCTAGAAAGGAGTGTCTCTGGATTGCAACTGGGAAAGATCTCTGAGGACAAGGAAGAAGAGTATAGAAGAAATCCCAGGCTCAAGTTTCTTCAGGCAAAGACAACAGCCAGTTTTCTGTGAGAACACTTAGCCAAACACCCAAAGCCCTTTAGTGCCTGTCCAAGGGAGCATGAGATGTTCCTCTTAACCAACAACCCTACCGCTCCTGGTTTCCCAGAAGTCTTCATTCTAGTAGGTTCTTTTGCAACATTTGCTAAAATTAGTGCGAGTTTTCAGGTGCTGGTGGGGTTGGTCTGGGGGTGAAGGTTTGCAGCAAAGAGTGACAAATGTGTAGTGTTCACAAGGAACGTAAGCCTCTCACGCTTAAAACCTGAGTAAGAAGGAATCAGCTTGCACAGAGAGGTTAAGTACAGCATTCTACAGCAAATTCGCACCTTCCACAAAACACGAGAAAACCCCAGTAGGCCTAAGGGTGGGAGTTTGATTGCACTAAACATGCAGAGAGCGCGGTGGGGGGCAGAGAATGTGCTGAAGGTAGAGAGCATGTCCCGAAGTCCAGTATCTTACGTCAGATGCGTGAAGATCTCACTCGTCTCTCTTGGTCGCTTCTCTTGGTCACTGTGTGTTGTAAGAGTCCATTTTCAATCTAAGTCCAGGGGGCTACTGCAAAGGGAGTATCCAGGACACAAAACAGATGAGGGTTTGTCTAAGACATTCATTACAAAATGACTATCAGCTTCTTAACACCACTTTTTCTACCTTTTCCACTATGCATTTAATGAGCATTCCACCAAAAAAAAAAAAAGAATTCACAGCTCCATGCATTTAAAAGCAGGTTCCAATGAATATGTACCATTGAGTTTTTTCCTGCTTTGTAACAAGAAAGTTTTGCGAAGCAGGACAGGGAGAGCAAACCAACAGTATAACCAACTTCCTTGCTTGGTCTCTCAGACCTATAACACAGTGAAGAATCTAATAAACGGAAAAAGTAAAGTTGCCTGAGACAGCTCACACATACACATAAACATATATGCAAGTATATAACAACTGCTTTGGATTGAATTGTATCCTCCCCAAATATGTGCTGTAAATTCTAATCTCTGTCTGCCGCTATAATCCCATTTGTCTTTGTTATGTTAATGAGGCAGGAATCACATAGGGTGTGTTCTGAGTCAATCTGTTTTGAGATATAAAAGAGATTAAACAAGCTAGCAGCAGAGGAAAGCTGGGATGAAGATTGGTGCCAGGACACATGGAGGACTCCAAGGAGGCAGGAAGCAGAAGTCAGTGACAAGGCTCTTTCCCCAGAACCAACAAGGAGAGAAAGGCTACCCTGAGAGCCAGCACTCTGACTTCCAGCCTCCAATACTGTGAGAAAATAAATTGATGTCTGCTGAAGTAGCCCACTTGTGTTTGTTATAAGAGCCCTAGACAACTAAGGAAATAACACTTAGAGAGCAGTAAGCTTGGGTGATGGACCTAAGTTGTGTATCTACTTACGCTCCTTCTTCTCTTAAGAGGGCCAAGAATTTTCTCACACGGTATTCAGGATCCATCTAAATGTATCAGAACAAGTAAAGAAGACAGATTAATGGGACCGCCTAGTAACTATGCACTCAATTCACGCCAAGGAAACGCTCAGTTTCTTTAAACATCACCAGTGCGCTGCTGACTCACAGAAGCGTGTTCCCGGCTCCTTGACCCGCGTTCTGGTACACACCAGAGGGGAGGGCCTCCTTCACGAGATGTAACTGGGATTTCCTAGCATGGAGTCACGATGCACTGAAAGCACCTGAACCGCTCATTCCTGGCAGCTCAGCCTTAGTTAGTCCCTTACTTAGTGGCGGCGGGAGGAGGCATAGCACGCTCATAATGCATCCGTAAGACCCGCTTGTGGGCCATTCAGGGGTTCACATGGCATCTAATCTACAATGTGAGACTAAAAAAAAGTGAGACTAAACTTGAGAAAGTCAAACTGAGGTTGGTCCAATGACTAAAATCTAGCTTATTAACGGTATAACCAGTAATTTCCCTTTTCTTGGCTCAATCTCTCTCACAGTTTTCTTAATTAATGGGTTAAAAAAAAGTGCTAAAATGAAAAGTAAACCAAGAAGCTCAAAGAGTGGGACTGACAACCCTGACCTGACTTCGGGGTGGCCTGGGTCCCCTGGTTCCCGAGAGCATCGCCACAAGTCTCAGGAGACCTGAGGGGGTGTCACTTGGGGGCTCGGTTCAGGTTAGTATCTGTATTATGTGGGCTTTCGTTCTACACTCAGAGAGTTGTGCCTTGCCCTCTCCCAGGTCCCACAGAAATGTGGAGTTATCTAGAAAATGATCATCCAGAAACCACCTTTAATTCCTTGAGATGAATTTTTATTGTAAGAAACACACCTAACTTTTCAAAATTGTTCCAGGCAGGCAGGAGTCTGTTTCCTGGGAGGGAACTCCCTGCCCTCCGGGAACGGCCCTCACAGGAGAGGCTCCTGCAGCTGCGGGGAAGGTGCCACTGGATTTCCCCCCCAAGCTCATCTTCCTTTCTTAAAAAAAAGGATTCCTCTCTTCTGTCTAAAAACCCCCCAAACCAAACACCCAACAGTGAACAGGAGTTTCAAATGTATCAAAGTGAAGAGGTCAGACTACAAAGGGCTAAGAAAAAGTGTGACTTGCTAACAAAAGAAACAGTTTTCCACTTCGGGAATAGAATTACATATGAATCAATTGTCAAGTTGTGGGGGGGATGGAACTGGCTGCAGCTCGGTACTTGCAGGTCTTTGCCCATTAAATATATTTAATATGTGTGAGCAACAGACTTACTGACTTGCCTGTAGCTATGGAATTAAGTCAAGAGAAAGGGAGGAAAAAAGTAATCTAGATAAATGACTTTATTCCCTCAGGTGACATCCAGTCAGAGCAGATCCGCGGCACAGAGCAAGTTTTAACAGAATTGGGTATGGTGAACAGAGAGGTAACATGACTTCGATTCTGCTCAATTGCATGCCTCTTCACTTAGGCTTGGTCTCTCTGAGGCAGATCTAAAGAGAATTCACTCAGCTGCACGAAATCCATTTGACATGAAGGGGTTCAAACTCAGAGGCCTATGATGTGTCAGTCGGTGAAGATTAGGCCCAAGTGCCGCAGTCTCACTTTCTACCCCAAACACATAAGCGGCATTAACGTCATCATTGACCTGCAGGCATCAAAGGAAGAGGAAGGGATGGGGGATGGAGAGAGGGGGGAGGAAAAAAAAAAACCAAACCAACCCCAAAAACCCCCACTTAGTTTCTCCTATGCAATTACTGGAAAAAAAATACTGCTGGAATGAAAAAATGAAGCATAGAGCCGATGATCTGACAGATTTATCTTCTTTTAGGGACAGAGCCAATCCACCTGCAAGTGCACCTTTACCAGAAATAATCCTAAGCAGAGCCACTGTCTGTAACTTGAATTTACTGCTCGTACTGCTAGCTAAATAAATAAATTAGTTTAGAAACAAGCCAAAGCTATTACAAACAATAAATAATAGCGAAAGCACTGCTCGCGTAAGAGCATCAGCAACATTAGTTCATCACACTCACCCTTAAGAGAACAGAGACGAGACCTACCTGACTGATTTGATCCGAGGGTTTCTCTCAGATTTTAAAACCCAACTCGGTTTTTCCACAGCCAATCGGTACAACCATGAATGTGAACCTAACTGAGCTTTGGATTTCTGAAGGCCCCTAAGTTCAACTTTAAAATACACTGACGAGAAAAGGTTAAAAAGCATTCACTTCATGTTCCCAATGACAGATGGTTAAGTTTGAGACTTGAACTTCACCTCTGCTGCCCACTGCTCACACCGAATAAAGGACAGATGAGCTAATGCTTCAAATGCAGCTGGTTCACCACTCGGACCAGCAATGGGCGCACTCATGGATTACAGAGGTTTACTGAACACTCTGCTATGCGTCTCGGGAGCTCTCAGGGCCTAGAGGTAAGGAGCTGCATCGGTCACCAGAAGGTATGTAGTTCAAATCCACCAGCTGCTCCTTGTGAGCAAGATGGGCAATCTCCTCCTGTGAAAACCCGCTGGAGGGGTCAGCTATAGGTCAGTTCTGACTCAGTGGTACACACAACAACAACAACTTCTATGTGTCTGACTGTAGGAGCTGTGAGTGAAAACCGAGGCCCCTGACCTAATAGAGACTGACAGAGAGGCATTTAGTTTTTAACCAGTAAGCCAGACAAGGACAAAATGCACAAGGGGGTGGAGTTCCAAGAAGAAGGAAGGCAGGCAGCCAACATCCATATAAGTCAGCCCAAGAAAAGTCATGTTTTCACCCTGACAGCACGGGGCTCAGCTGGTCCATGGGATCCTGAATGCTTCGACTCCGCAGTATGATATTTCTAGTATGTTTCCTCATATTTCTAGAAGCTTATTCAGGGGAGAATATATAGAGCTCCTGTCTAGTCTGTACAATGCAATTAATTGTCCTGGGCCTCTAGGTCTACGTGTATGCGGTAGTTTATGACCATGGATGTACAATGTCCCTGATCTGTCAATAGCTGGCCAGGTAACCTTGAACAATTCGCCAATAACCTGTGGGCCCCTTGGTTCACTCATCTCTAAAATGAAGGAGCAGGAGAACAATTGTTCTTTGAAGTTCTTACAAAGTTTAAGATCTAGTGACTCCATGAATAAAAACAAAAAGTAACTTTATAATCTTTTCTTCTACTTCTGCATTTTAAAAAGTAGAAAAAGTGTGATTGTATGATCTCAGCAGTAGGCTGCTAGAACCAGTCTAGGTCTGGGAATAACACAAGGGAACTCTAATTGAAACTAATCAAAAGGAAGCGATAAAGCACCTTTCTGTGTCTGAATCACACAGAAGGGGGAGGAAACATCTCACCTGCAGGGACATCTCAATCAACATCAGTAACTTCTTGATGCCAATCCAGACCTGCTTGCCCTTGACTTGCTGTGCAATTGTGGTGCGTTCCTTGTCCTTGAAGTTGCCCAAAAGCTACAAAACCAAGAAATAATAGTCAAAGCACTTGTAGAGTAAAAACATCAGTAACACTAGGTAAATTTTGAATCTCAAGAGCGGAGATGAGAACTATCTGACTAGTTCAGCTTATAGGGTTCTTGAACTTTCAAGTCCAACCTGACTTTGCTACATTCAATAAGAACGATGAATGTGAAGACTGGCCTTCCAAACCCTGCTTTCCAATGGACCTTCACTATAACTTGGAGAGGTATTTTCTGGGGGGAAAAGAGCTCTAACTCATAATAAATATCAGTTAGAATTTTTCACATTCCTTTCCAGGAACAATCTGTATGTGTCAAAACAGACTAAATGTAATTCTCTTATTCAACCTCTGCCCAAAGCTGCTCTCAACCAGATCATGTGAAGGCATTTATCATATAGACCATTTATTTCTATTTTGTTGGGAAGAGATAACAATCTTATGGATCTTGAAGATCTGAAGGGTCTTTACTGCCCCTACTTCTGCTGAACAACTCACTCGACAGTATTTCAGTGTCCACTGACACAAATGCAAAGTTCAGTGTAGAAGATAACCTTAGGAAAATTAAAATTTGACATCTCAAAAAAATTTAAAAATATTTCTATATTAAAACAACTATGAGATACGATCTCACTCCAGGAAGAATAGCAAGATTTAACAGAACGGCAAACAACAAATGTTGGAGAGGTTGTGGAGAAACTGGAACCCTTATTGACTGTTGGTGGAAGTGTAAAATGGTGCAACCACTGTGGAAGGTGGTATGGTGCTTTCTTAAAAAGTTGCAAATAGAAATATCATTTGACCCAGCAATTGCACTACTGGGAATATACCCCAAAGAGACCATAACTGACATCCAAGCAGATATATGCACACCCATGTTTATTGTGGCTTTGTTCCCAATAACAAGAAGTTGGAAATAATCTAAATGCCCATCAACAAATGAATAGATAGAGAAGCTGTGGTATATTCACACAATGGAATACTACATTGCATTGAAAAACAAGAAACTCATGCAATATTATTCAAAATGGGTGACCCTGGAGGACATTATGCTGAGTGAAGTATCTCAGTCACAAAGGGACAAATACTACATAGTGCCACTGCTGTAAAATGGGACTGACATTGGGGTTGGGAGAGACTGAGAAAGATGGGATAAATAATGTATACCGCACTGAAACAGATGAGGGAGAAAACTGTTTAAAACGGATATGTGATTAGGTATTATTGTCATGATGGGAGTCCAGAATGAAGGCTGCATAGTGGGGTGGACCTGGGGGGAGGGATTATAAAACAATGAAAGAATTTTTCTTTTACTTTTCAAAGAGAAGAGTGTACTGGGGGGAAGGGTGGGCAGGGAGAAAAGTGCAACAATGAATGAATGGAAAAAAAAGACGGATAAAAATATTTCTATATTATAAAATTGTTAAAAAGAATGCTTTATCTTTCCATAGATTTCCTCAAGTTCCTAAGGTTTTAATCATGGTTCTAATTCATTAAATGCAAGGAAATGTGCTGAAGGCCACTATAAATTACTGCCTTTTCTATGGAATGATTAACTCATATTCTTCCCCCCTTCCTTTTTTTTTTATTTTATTTTTTTCCCCTCCTCCCTTCTTCAAGCTTCTATCCTTGGTAATCTCTATGCATTACTTAGGCTGGCCACCAAAGTCATTTATTCCTGACAGTTTTTATGCTGTTTTCAGTGAGGAATGGGAGATTAATTTACTGTCATTTGTGTTAATAGCTTCTCCTCCCTCAATCCAGAAGATGACTGGAGATAATAGCCCAGGTCCCTGGTTCTAGGATAATCTAGAAACCGAACAGCAGACGTAAAGTCTACGGCAACCGTTAGCCTTATTTGCAGTCTCCTCAACTCCTCTCACAGAAACAGTGCACAACTTATCAACCCCTTTTCACCTCCAGAGCCTCCAATAGCTGCTCTCCTGTGGCGATGTTGGGCACATGGATGGTGGTGCTGAAAGCATTGAGCATCTCCATCTCCTGAAGGACGTCTTTGCGACTAGTGGTCCCAATGATAAGAAGCTTGCGGCCCTGGTCACAGGGAGAAAGCAACTGTTAAAAAATGTCTAGAACAAGCCTACTTGGGATAACTCAAGTAAGCATCAGCAAGATATGCAAGCCCCACTTATTTAATTGCAGAAATGCCAAAGACTGGCAAAAGAAAAGGGAAAAAGAAAAACATTACGTCATAAAAATCTAAAATAAGGTGCCAAGTGCGTGATTATAACGGCTAGTGTTCAAACAGCTTTTTCTTTTCTGTCTCTGAATAAATAGACTGGTACATCAGAGAGGTACAAAAACCTAATAGAAAGATGCTAAAGTATGTTTCAAATTAATTCCTTCTTACTATTTAGTTGGTCTATGTGTGTTGAGGTATCAAAAGAAGATGGAAAAAATATACTGAGTCACTGTATCGAAAGGAATTGGCAGACACAGAAGAATTCAATGAAATAACATTTGAGTATGAGCCTATGGTGATGCAGGAAGAATTTCAAGCTGCTTTGAAAGAAATAGTAAAAAATAAGGCCACAGGAATAGATGGCATACCAATTGACATATTTCAGCTAACAGATGCTGCCCTGTACGTGCTCACCAAGTTGTGTCAAGAAATCTGGAGAACAGCCACTTGGCCAACTGACTGGAAGAGATCTATATTTGTTCCCATTCCAAAGAAAGGTGACCCAACAGAGTGTGGAAACTACAGAACAATATCGTTGATTTCACATGGAAGCAAGATTCTGCTGAAGATTATCCAAAATCAACTGGAACAGCACATCAGCAGAGAACTACCAGAAGTGCAGGCTGGGTTTAGAAGGGGTCGTGGCACTAGGGATATTGTAGCTCGTGTTAGATGGATATTGGATGAAAGCAGGGAATACCAGAGGAATGTCTATCTGTGCTTCATTGATTATGCAAAGGCGTTTGACTGTGTGGACCATAACAAACTATGGCTGACTCTGAGAAGAATGGGAATCCCAGAACACGTGATCGTGCGAATGTGAAACTTATACCTGAACCAAGAGGCAGTCGTCAGAATATAGCAAGGAAACACTGCATGGTTCAAAATTGGGAAGGGCGTACGCCAGGGATGTGTCCTGTCTCCATACCTTTTCAACCTCTATGCAGAACAGATCATCCAGGAGGCTGGGCTCTATGAGGAGAAATGTGGTGTCAGGATTGGTGGAAGATCTATCAGCAATCTGCGTTATGCGGATGACACAACCCTGCTTGCTGAAACTGAGGAGGACCTGAAGTGCTTGCTGCTGAGGGTCAGGGACTGCAGCCTTCAATATGGATTGAGGCTCGATGTCAAGAAGACAAAGATTCTCATCATTGGACCAACTGGCAGCATCAGGATGGATGGTGAAGAGATTGAGATTGTTAACAACTTTAGTCTGCTTGGCTCCACAATCAACACTCTTGGCACCAGCAGCCAGGAAATTAAAAGACGTACTGCCATGGAAAAGTCTGCTGTTAGGGACCTCTCTAAAGTACTCAAGAGCAATGGTGTGTCTCTGGAGACTAAGGTGGGTCTGGTACAGGCCATGGTCTTTGCAATCACTTGTTATGCATCAGAGAGCTGGACAATGACCAGGGAGGATAGAAGGAGAATTGATGCTTTTGAGCTTTGGTGTTGGAGAAGAGTGCTGAGGGTGCCATGGACTGCTAAGAAAACAAACAGATTCATCTTGGAGAGGGTTAAACCAGGCTACTCCTCGGAGGCGAGGATTCTGAGGCTTCGTCTGACATACTTTGGACAAGATGTGAGGAGAGACTGGTCCTTGGAGAAGGACATCATGCTTGGGAGGATGGTGGGCAGGCGCAGGAGGGGAAGGCCCTCTGGGAGATGGACTGATTCAGTGACTTGGATAATCGGGATGAATGTGTCGGAGACAATGAGATTGGCACAGGACAGAGTAGAGTTTAGAGCTGTTGTATATAGGGTCGCTATGAGTCGCAAGGGACTCGACGACACATAACAACAACAACAACAACATGTGTGTTGAGAATTGGCAAAATCAATGAGCAGTCTTTTTATCAGCCACTCTGTAAGGTTTCAATAAGCTTTTTAGAAAGTGCAGGGGAATAGTAATGGTTTATATCGATGCAACACTTAGCTGTGCAGGACCATGTTGTGTTGGTAAAAGGCATACTGTATAATTCAATAGTTTTAAATATAATTTTTGTTTTAACTCCAAGATCTATTAAAATAATGTTTAAAAACTACACCAGGATTATATCACTATTCCCGATTTCCCCTTTCCATTTTCAGCTTTCTTAACTTTTATTTGTTTCTGAGTCCTTAAACAAGAAGCTACTATTGTTTTTAGATTTTCTTTTACGTTTTAAATATTTCTTGACTTCTTGTTATAGAAGACAGGAACTTCCTATGAATGTTTTATAGGCCCTTTCCCTCATTCTCCTAATAACAGTTTTTGGTTGAATCGACATCCAGCCACGTCTCTGGCAGTTTGAATTTACCAGCAGCTCCACAGGAGAAAGGTGAGCATTTTCCTCTTGAGAGATTTACACCCTCAGAAATCCCGTGGTGGATCAGCTTTGAGTTCTGACTCCCCAGCAAGGTGTATAAGTATGACTCACAGCAAGGCAAAGCAGTGTACTACGGCTACATTCCTTCCCTTGGGCACTTTTGGTTCTTAGGAGAGGGAATAACTGCCCTTCTTTTCTTTGCTTGTTGTTGTGTGCCACTGAGTTGCAACGGACACAAAGCTGACCGTCCAGCAGGTTGTCAGAGGTAGTAACTCACAGGGAAGACTGCCCATCTTTCTCCTGCAGAGCAGGTGGTGGATTTGAACTGCAGGCTTTTGGTATTGTAGCACAGCCTCTTACCTCTAGGCCACCACAGACCAAATACTGATTACAAGGTCAAGGAGCCCTGGTGATGCAGTGAGTTATGTATTGGGCTGCTAACCAAAAGGTCGGCAGATTGAATCCAACAGCTGCTCCTTGAGAGAGAGAGATGAGGGAGTCTGCTAGCATTAAGATTTACAGCTCCAGAAACCAGATGGGGAGTCACCAAGAACGGGAGTCAATTCGATGGCAATGGGTTTGGTTTTTGGTTCATCTTCACAACCATGTTCAAACATAACTGCCCCACAGAATTTCCAGGGAGGACATATTTACAGAGGCAGACTGCCATATCTTCTGCAGAGTGCCTGGAGGACTGAACCTCTGACCTTTTGGTTGACAGTGATCACTAACCACGGTGCCACCACAGCTCCTGTCAGACACATTTGCTCCGTCACTTTCATTGCTGTAGAATCAGAGCTGAGTCCAGGCCATGAATCACAGGGGGAGACTGTCATCTTCCTTCTAAGGAGCCCCCGGTGGATTTAAACCAATTTCCTCTTACTTCTAATCCTTTCTATATCAGCCCTTTTTTTTCCCTTCTTCATCTTTTATTTTGCATTTCCCCCATAACCTTCCTGAGAAAGGATATATGGGAGATAAAAATGTGAAGACTTGGGAAATGTCTACCCTTATTCTCCCCTTAAGAGCCGTTGGCTTACACTTGACAGTTTGCCTAGGTATAGAGATCAAGATTAAAAAAGATTTCCACCTCCCCTCCCCAGTCTTGTGAAGACACTTGCCTCTTAATTTCCAGGATTATGGATTAGAAGTCCAATACCACTCTGATTCTGGCTTTCAGTTTATATACAAAAAAACCCAACAAACAACCCAAACACCAAAACCTTAACAGTAACGTTTTAGGCATCCCCCCCTTTCTGTCATGTTCTGTCAAATAAAAACTCAAACTCATTGCTGTCAAGTTGGAGCTGACTCCTAGCTGACCCCCCAGAGGCTGTAAACTGCACAGGAGGAGACAGCCCATTTTTCTCCCACAGAGTCACTCACTGGTGACTGTACTGGCACTGTAATTATTCGTACCACCCTGAGACTCTAGTGAGTCTCACAGAGAAGCCAATTGTTCAAGGTCAAACGATTAATAAGTGATGGAGCCTGGACTGAAAACCAGACCTGGCATTCAAAATCCTCCACAGCTCCCTTCCTGAGGAGAAAACAAAGTGAAATATGTTTATGCTTGGAAAGTGGAGGAGGAATGAATTTTAAACTGCTGTAACTAGATTTATTATACATACCCATTCCATAGATAAGCCTTTAATACAATCATTAAATCTATCCATGAATCTTAGAAAAGTAGGGGCATTAAATGTGCTACCAGAAAAAGATTTTAAGAAACTAATTATCAGGTGCCAGAAGGATTTCAACCTGGGTTTTCTAAACAATACAGATCTACTGTCCACGAGGCATGCAGGCCTTAAGTCTTACTGTTTTGGGTCATCTGCCCTGGCAGGAATGGACAACATACCAACACAATCAAAGCCATATCAAAGAAACACAGCTGAGACCCTGTAGTACCAGTGGCCACTGACATATCTGATGACTATGAAAAGACAGTAAGATGGAAGTACGTCCATGTAGTATTGGATACAGACTAGAATGTAGTCATTATTACATAAGAAAATCAATCAGTTAAAAATCGAATATATATTAACATTTCCCTACCTCCCAGATAAATATAGGTCAGGTATAAAGGTTAGAAGACTAAATACACTGACATCAGGGTTGAGGTAAGACTGAGAAAAACTGGATAGATTATGTATACTGAACTGAAACAGATGAGGGAGAGAACAGTTTAAAAGTGATATATGGGGAGAGCTCTGGTGGCCTAGTGGCAAGGAGCTGCAACTACAATCCCAGAGGCGCACGGTTCGAATCCACCAGATGCTCTGCCAGGGAAAGAGGGACAATCTCCTCCTGTACCAGTCAGACCTGATTTGACGGTACATTCACACAAAAATAATAAAAAAAAATTAAAAAAAAGTGATATATGATAGCATATTGTGATTATCACAGGAATCCAGAATTAAGGTTGCATAGTGGAGTGCATTTGGGGCAGGGGTGGGGTGGGGGTGGATTGTGTACCAATGAAGAAGTTTATCTTTTGCTTTTCAAAGACAGGATCCAACTGGGGGGAGGAGGGCAAA